TCTTCTTCTTCTTTCCCTTCTTCTTCTTCTTTCCCTTCTTCTTCTTCTTCTTCTTCTTTTCCTTCTTCTTCTTCTTTTCTTCTTCTTCTTCTTTCCTTCTTCTTCTTCTTCTTCTTCTTTTCCTTCTTCTTCTTTCCTTCTTCTTCTTCTTCTTTCCTTCTTCTTCTTTTTTCTTCTTCTTCTTTCCTTCTTCTTCTTCTTCTTCATTTCCTTTTCTCCTTTACCCACCTTCTTTTGCCCTCCTCCTCCTTCTTCTTCTTTTCTTGCCTCCTCTCCCTATTTCTTCTTCCTTCTTCATTTTCTTCCGACTCCTTTTTCTTCTTCCTCCTCCTTCTTCTTCTTCTTTTTTCTTCCTCTCCCTTCTTCTTTTCTTCTTCTTCTTCTTCTTCTTCATTTCCTTTCCGACTCCTTTTACCCCCTCCTTTTGCCCACTTCCTCCTCCTTCTTCTTCTTCACCTTTTTCTCTGCCTCCTCTCCCTTCTTCTTCCTCTTCCTCTTCTTCTTCTTCTTCATTTACTTTCCGACTCCTTTTACCCTCCTCCTTTTGCCCTCTTCCTCCTTCTTCTTCACCTATTTCTCCACCTCCTTCCCTTCTTCTTCTCAACCTTCTCCTTCTTCTTTCTTCCCCTTCTCCTTCTTCTTCTTCGTCTTCCTCTTCTTCATTTCCTTTCCGACTCATTTTGTCCTCCACCTTTTGCCCTCTTCCTCCTTCTTCTTAACCTTTTTCCCCACCTCCTCCTCTTCTTCTTCTCCAACTTCTCCTTCTACTTTCCCTCCTCCTCCTTCTTCTTCTTCTTCTTCTTCATTTCCTTTCCGACTCCTTTTACCCTGCTCCTTTTGCCCTCTTCTTCATCTTTTTCTCCGCCTCCTCTCTCCTTTCTTCCTCTCCACCTTCTCCTTTTCCCTCCTCCTCCTCCTCCTTCTTATTCTTCGTCTTCATTTTCTTTCCGACTCCTTTTACCCTCCTCCTTTGCCCTCTTCCTCCTTCTTCTTCACCTTTTTTTCCACCTCCTTCCCTTCTTCTTCTCAACCTTTCCTTCTTCTTTCCCTCCTCCTTCTCCTTCTTCTTCTTCGTCTTCTTCTTCTTCTTCTTCGTTTTCCTCTTCTTCATTTCCTTTCCGACTCCTTTTACCCTCCTCCTTTTGCCCTCTTCCTCCTCCTTCTTCTTCTTCTTCGTCTTCACCTCTTCTTTTTTTCTCCGCCTCCTCCCCCTTCTTCTTCTTCTCCACCTTCTCCTTCTTTTTTTCCTCCTCCTCCTTCTTCTACATTTCCTTTCCGACTCCTTTTACTCTCCTTTTTGCCCTCTTCCTCCTTCTTCTTAACCTTTTTCCCCACCTCCTCCTCCTCTTCTTCTCCAACTTCTCCTTCTTCTTTCCCTCCTCCTCCTTCTTCTTCTTCTTCTTCATTTCCTTTCCGACTCCTTTTACCCTGCTCCTTTTGCCCTCTTCTTCATCTTTTTCTCCGCCTCCTCCCCTTTCTTCCTCTCCACCTTCTCCTTTCCCTCCTCCTCCTCCTTCTTATTCTTCTTCTTCATTTCCTTTCCGACTCCTTTTACCCTCTTCCTTTTGCCCTCTTCCTCCTTCTTCTTCACCTTTTTCTCCACCTCCTTCCCTTCTTCTTCTCAACCTTCTCCTTCTTCTTTCCCTCCTCCTTCTCCTTCTTCTTCTTCGTCTTCTTCTTCTTCTTCTTCTTCGTTTTCCTCTTCTTCATTTCCTTTCCGACTCCTTTTACCCTCCTCCTTTTGCCCTCTTCCTCCTCCTTCTTCTTCTGCGTCTTCACCTCTCTTCTTTTCTCCGCCTCCTCCCACTTCTTCTTCTTCTCCACCTTCTCCTTCTTCTTTTCCTCCTCCTCCTTCTTCTTCATTTCCTTTCCGACTCCTTTTACCCTCCTTTTTTGCCCTCTTCCTCCTTCTTCTTAAACTCTTTCCCCACCTCCTCCTCTTCTTCTTCTCCAACTTCTCCTTCTTCTTTCCATCCTCATCCTTCTTCTTCTTCTTCTTCATTACCTTTCCGACTCCTTTTACCCTGCTCCTTTTGCCCTCTTCTTCATCTTTTTCTCCGCCTCAACCCCTTTCTTCCTCTCCACCTTCTCCTTTCCCTCCTCCTCCTTCTTCTTATTCTTCTTCTTCATTTCCTTTCCGACTCCTTTTACCCTCTTCCTTTTGCCCTCTTCCTCCTTCTTCTTCACCTTTTTTCTCCACCTCCTTCCTTCTTCTTTCAACCTTCTCCTTCTTCTTTCCTCCTCCTTCTCCCTTCTTCTTCTTCGTCTTCCCTTCTTCATTTCCTTTCCGACATTTTACCCTACTCCTTTTGCCCTCTTCCTCCTCCTTCTTCTTCTTCTTCTCCACCTTCTCCTTCTTCTTTTCCTCCTCCTCCTTCTTCTTCATTTCCTTTCCGACTCCTTTTACCCTCCTCCTTTTGCCCTCTTCCTCCTTCTTCTTAACCTTTTTCCCCACCTCCTCCTCTTCTTGTTCTCCAACTTCTTCTTCTTCTTTCCATCCTCCTCCTTCTTCTTCTTCTTCTTCTTCTTCTTTTTCTATTTTTCCGACTCCTTTTTACCCTCCTCCTTTTTGCCCTCTTCCTCCTTCTTCTTAACCTTTTTCCCCCACCTCCTCCTCTTCTTCTTCTCCAACTTCTCCTTCTTCTTTCCCTCCTCCTCCTTCTTCTTCTTCTTCTTCATTACCTTTCCGACTCCTTTTACCCTCCTCCTTTTGCCCTCTTCTTCATCTTTTTCTCCGCCTCCTCCCCTTTCTTCCTCTCCACCTTCTCCTTTACCTCTTCCTCCTTATTCTTCTTATTCTTCTTCATTTTCTTTCCGACTCCTTTTACCCTCCTCCTTTTGCCCTCTTCCTCCTTCTTCTTAACCTTTTTCCCCACCTCCTCCTCTTCTTCTTCTCCAACTTCTCCTTCTTCTTTCCCTCCTCCTCCTTCTTCTTCTTCTTCTTCATTACCTTTCCGACTCCTTTTACCCTGCTCCTTTTGCCCTCTTCTTCATCTTTTTTCTCCGCCTCCTCCCCTTTCTTCCTCTCCACCTTCTCCTTTCCCCCTCCTCCTCCTTATTCTTCTTCTTCATTTCCTTTCCGACTCCTTTTACCCTCCTCCTTTTGCCCTTTTCCTCCTTCTTCTTCACCTTTTTCTCCGCCTCCTCCCCCTTCTTCTTCTCCACCTTCTGCTTCTGCTTTCTCTCCTCCTCCTCCTTCTTCTTCTTCTTCTTCATTTCCTTTCCGACTCCTTTTACCCTCCTTCTTTTGTTCTCTTTCTTCTTCTTCTTCACCTCTCTTCATTTTCTCCGCCTCCTCCCCTTCTTCTTCTCCACCTTCTCCTTATTCTTTCCCTCCTCCTCCTCCTCCTTCTTCTTCTTTCCCTCCTCCTCCCCCTCCTTCTTCTTCTTCTTCTTCTTCTTCTTCTTCTAGTCAAGCCTATTTTTTCAAGTATTCTGCTTTTAAAATTAAATTAATCTTTCACTCGCTCGTAGTTTAACATCGTCCGAGGATACACATTTATAGCATTGAAACATAATTGCCATTATATAGCGATTTTAACATTTAATATTGAGCTCAACTATGTATTGAACCCCTTTTTTAAATGTTACGTACAGTGGAATTATACTACATTTGTATTCACTTTATCTGAATATATATATATATATATATATATATATATATATATGTGTGTGTGTGTGTGTGTGTGTGTGTGTGTAATAGCAACAAAAAAAGTTACTTATTTTACTTTTCATGATTAAAAAGAAAACTGAAAATAAAACATAGCCGTTCTCTCAACGTTTTTCTTATTTTCTATATATATAAATATATATTTCTAAAAATACAGACACACACACACGAACACACACACACATATATATATATATATATATATCCAAATATTTTTTCTTATTTTCTATAAAATATATATATTTCCAATTATTTTGCATGTCTAATGATTTTCATTCTTAAAGTGTCTTTTATTTATTTTCCTTTCTTCTTCTTCTTCTTCTTCTTCTTCTTCTTCTTCATCCTCTTCTTCTTCTTCTTCTTCATCATCTTCTCGTCCTCCTTCTTCTTCTTCTTCTTCATCCTTTTCTTCTTCTTCATCATCTTCTTCTTCTTTAACATCATCATCATCAACATCTTCTTCTTCATTCTCTCCTTCTTCTCCTTCTTCTTCTTCATCTTCTTCTTCTTCTTTTTCATCATCTTCTTCTCCTTCTTCTTCTTCATCCTCTTCTTCTTCTTCTTCATCATCTTCTTCTTCTTCATTCTCTCCTTCTCCTTCTTCTTCTTCATCTTCTTCTTTTTCATCATCTTCTTCTTCTTCTTCTTCTTCATCCTCTTCTTCTTCTTCTTCATCATCTTCTTCTTCTTCATTCTCTTCTTCTTCTTCTCCTTCTTCTTCTTCATCCTTTTCTTCTTCTTCATTTCTTCTTCTTCTTCTTCATCATCTTCTTCTTCTTCATTCTCTTCTTCTTCTTCTCCTTCTTCTTCTTCATCTTCTTCTTCTTCTTTTTCATCATCATCTTATTCTTCTTCTTCTTCATCATCTTCTTCTCCTTCTTCTTCTTCTTCTTCTTCTTCATCCTCTTCTTCTTCTTCATCATCCTCTTCTTCTTTTTCTTCTTCTTCTTATTCTTCATCATCCTCTTCTTCTTCCGTTGCGAGCCTTAGTAGTCCTTCCTCCCTGTGCTAATGATCCCATCCCCACCCCTATTTCACTACCGCGATCCTCACGTGACATTAGTTGCCCTAAGGAGGGAAAAAAGACAATATGCAACGAATAAAACCACCGTGTATGGACTTATTTAAGTCTAGGCGACTCTAATCTCGCTGAACAGATGGAAATTCTCGTCTGGTTGAAGATGGCACAGTAGGTGTTTAATACCATACTTAACACCTACTAATTAACCATTTTATTTATCAATTTAACGCCGCTTCTCACTGTTAATATATCTAACTTTTATTTTTGGCAGAGTTTACATCTATCCCGGCTATTTTTACTGGCTTTTCTTTTTCTACGAATTCTCCAGGTTATTTTAGGAGATCTGTGTTCGTCTTGTCTGGTTTTCGCACGTTTACACGTTGAGAGCGCTTCTCTCAACTGAGAAAAAAAAAACTGATGTTATATAACTCTCCCAGGCCCACATTGACTATTGTCCCGCCCAGTATCGTTTATATGCAAATAGTCAGCGCCACCTACTCTAAGGTCTTCCCCCAACACCCCGTTGTAGAAGAGGACGCAACTCCTGGTACTTACAGCACCACATACAACCAACTCGAAGTCTTTTATCGGGCTGACCCGATTCTGTTAGAAGATTCACATACTTTCCTTTTAGTTTCCTATAATCGGCTAACAATGGTGTAGCATTTACATATTTTCTCAGCCTATAAAACTCAGCCTATAGTTTATAATATCGCTTTTCCCACACATTTTCGCCCCACTCCATGTAGAACTTTTTCATCATTAACACTATTTCCTATTTCCATTTCAGCAAGTGATGTTGGCGTAGAAGGTGACCTTTTAACCTTAAAAAATATCCCCAAATATTCCCGGTATATAATATGTGAACCTTAAATCTTGTGGTTTAGGGTAGGGTAAGTTGTCCGCATGGGAAATTTTGGCGGTAGGGTACCCCTTTTTATTTAGACTGGGTGTGTATCTTATGATGCCGTTTAAAGATCCTGTTATGATACGTAACCTCTCTGACATGTAGTTTCGTTAAGAGAAGATATCTCTCCCGTAGGTATAGGGATACGGCCTTTTATACAGTGACTCATTTACATATAACAACACCTCCCTGAACCTAAGAGGCTTTATACCTTTTGTTGATCTTTGGCTTCTACGAACAATTCTGGGTGACATGATACGTCTCTTAGAGTGAGTCTCTTTATTTCTTCTTATGGAAGATCTAGATCTTAACTGATTCTCATTTGTATCATCATGATACCTCCAATCACTCTCATACTCAGATTGTTCCTAATTGCTGCTGTATGCACTCATTCTCTCCTCCCTATCCTGTTCTTCACTTTCATGTCTCTGGTGGTCTTCCTGGTCACTCTCTATACTGGATTCTTTCATCCTTTCTTGCGTCGTCTGTTATTCGGCTTCCTCTTCTGACTCCTTATCCATAACTTCATGCTCGCTTGTGGTTCTAAATTGGTCTTCATGAGCCAGTATATTCCGACCCTTCTTTGGTAAGATAGTTGTGTTAAATCCCTTTTGCACCACAAAATTTTCCTTTTCAGGATTCGAATCCTTGTCCTTTCTGTATCACACACTTTCATTCCTTGCAAATGGCATGGTAATCGGAGCCCTTATTTGTCTTGCCATCAATACGGGTGGGTTGTGTATTCTGCCTGCATGCGAAATAACTCTCTAACTTAGTCTGGGTAAATAACTCTCTATATCATAATCCACTGAAGATAATGATTTTAATCCCATTTTTACTGTTTGAACCATTCTCTCCAAAATTCCATTTGACTGTGGATGGTAAGGTGGTGTTTTGTATGGAATATAGCTATTACATTTTAACCATTCACATAAACTTTCTTCACAAAATTCAGGTGCATTGTCAGAGACCAATGTTTTTTGGAACTCCGTTTCTTGAAAACACTCTCCTCAACACTCGCTTCACAGCAGTGGCTTTTCTATTCGTGATTTTAATGACTTCAGGCCACCATGAATACGAGTCGACTAATATCATAAATAGTTCTATAACTTTAACATAAGGATGGTTCATATGAACTCGTGTCCACGGCTCCATTGCCTTTGGCCAAGAGTGAATTTTAGTTTGCCTAAATTTCTTTATTTTTGCACACTTTGGCCATTTTTAGCATACTCTTCCAAGCCTCTCAAATAGCCTGGTCACCATGCTTATAACTTTACGTAGCCAATATACTTTCCTGTATATAATCGTATACGGCTTTAA